GGGGGCTTGTCTATACTTGGAAGTTAATTTAGATTAAGGAAGACTGTGAATGTAAAGCACTATAGCTATTCCTGAATAACTCAACATGTAGACACTCTCATTCCAGAATAAGACCTCGTCTAGACTACAAATGCTTTGCTGCTGTAGCTATACCAGTGGAGCCTCCTAATGTAGACACAGCTTACACCAAGCAAAGGAGTTGTACTGCCAGCATGGCTAAACCACTTGTACAAGTGATATTTAGTTATGTCGACAGAAGCCCTCCTCTGTCGGCATAGCTCAGGGGTGGGCAAACTACGGCCCGGGGGCTGCATCTGGTCCTTCAGACATTTTAATCCGGCCCTCGATCTCCCGCCGGGGAGCAGGGTCAGGGGCTTGCCCCACTCTGCATGTGCCGTGGCTCCTGGAAGCAGCGGCATGTCCCCCCTCCGGCTCCTACGCACAGGGGCAGCCAGGGGGCTCCGCAGGCTGCCCCCACCCCAAGTGCCACCCCCGTAGCTCCCATTGGCCATGGGCCGGTGCCTACGGACAGGGCAGCCCTGATCCCCCCCGCTCCCACCCTCTGAACCCCTCTGTCCCAGCCCAGAGCACTCTCCTGTACCCCCAACCCCTCATCCCCAGCCCCATCCCAGAGCCTGCAACCCCAGCCGGAGCCCGCACCCCCACCCCCCTGCCTCAGCCTGGAGCCCCCTCCTGCACTCTGAACTCCTCATTTCTGGCCCCACCGCAGAGCCCGCACCCCCAGCTGCAGCCCTCACCCCTCCCTCACCCCAACCCCCAATTTCGTGGCATTCATGGCGCGCCATACAATTTCCATACCCAGATGTGGCCCTTCAGCCAAAAAGTTTGCCCACCCCGGCATAGCCGGATCTCTGCTGGAGGTTTTGTCAGCGTAGCTATCGGTTAGGTGACACCCCTGACCAACACAGCAACATAGGACAACAAAACTTTGTTGTGTAGATCTAGCCTAACAATTCCTTGTTCTGGTTTTAGTATAATCTGCTTTGTGGATGGGATTCAGGAGTTATTCAGGAACAGGAATAATTTATGTGTAGACAAGCCCTAACCCCATTGCTCTAGGACCAATAATTTGAGTGCAATCCAGTATTTTACTCAAAAGTGTTGGTAAACAGGTTTTGAAAATAAAATAAAGGCAGTCAATAGGACTCAAGGGACACAGGAAATTAAACCACTTCTCAAAAATATTCTCATTCAGAGCAGAAAATTATTATACAAACCTTGCAGGGCAACAGATCAAGTTTTAATAGTGTCACCTTTCCTAAGATGGCATGTACAAGTTACTGTCGGTAACAAAATGAGGTAGCGGCACATTCTGAAATAGCAAGTCTACTTGTTAAGCAAAAATGACTCACCCTTTTTTAATATTAGTTTTTTTACTTCTCTGAAGTAACTAGTCACGAAGACAGGAAGGGGAGGCTGTGTGTGACACAAGGGGCCTCATTCTTTTTAAAACTTTGGTTTGTTCATTTGGGCTCTAGGATTTTTAACTCCTGATCCATTGGCCCTATCCATATCAGTCTGCTATCTAAATGAAAACTGCAGCAAGTAGTTGGAATACTTTAGACAACAACACAAATATTTACTCATTAAGATTATACATATTGTACATTAAAAATGAATTAGGAAAACAAGTCCTAGAAATATCTATCCCTCTTACAGTGAATGGTTCTAGTGCTTAAGAGCTGACATACAGAGACAAATCCTGTTCTTCATAGGAATAGAAAAATGTAGAATAACTGTATCAATGTATTTTACACCGATGCAAGCTCGTGTAGATACGCTGTGCTGATATAAAGTGGGGCTTACGCTGGTGTGACTTAAATAGGTAAATTATCCGAGTAAGCCACACTGGTGTAGGCCCCTCTTTGCACTGGTGCAGCATATCTACATTAGAGGTTTGCACTGATGTCATAAACTCAATGCAGTTACACCTATATGAATTTCTCCAATGTAGCCAAGACTTAACTCCCACAAGTTAATGGGACTACTAGATGAGTAAAGCTCATCTACATTACAAATATAACGAGTCAGCAGACCAAGCTGCAATATAGTTAAAAGTCCAGGGCAGTGCTTTAGCCCTGCTACAGGGACATGTTTAGAAGCTGGGACAATCACATAAGCGAATGCAGAGAAGCCCAGTGGCGAGCAAAATTTAGAGCTTTGTCAATACTTCATCAAAATAGACATCCTGCTAGGAAATAGACTGAGGCACAGTAAGTGGATCTACTCATTTATGAATGCAGCAGCAGCATTTACTCATATACAAGTGAGAAGAACCAAATATCCCCCTGCATGAGACACATCATGCCTCAGTACGGTTGTGGCTCCTGGAATTTTAAGGCCTTCTCACTTTTCATCTGTTTCATTCTAGAATCTAGTTTTCATGTTAAGAATCAAGGCTTTTTGTACTGGAATGAGAAATAATATCTTTACATTGTTACATGGTTTGTTTTCTTTAAAATGTTTTAATTAGCAATGATTTAACCATGGATGTATTAGAAGTTTCTTTACAGCAGCTTTGACACCATGATTTACCATCCATTCCAATGGTAAGCTGCATTTCCTGTGTGATAAACTACACCAAACTGTCAAGGTGGCATATCCATGACTACGTGATTAATTAGACTTTTGTTTAGTTGTTTAACTATATTTGACATTTTAATTTTGTAGCCCAATATAATGATTACAATACCTTTTATGGCCATGATTCAGCAAAGCATGTAAGCACGTGCTTAACTTTAAACTAGGGCTGTCAAGCGATTTAATAAATTAATCGCGACTAATCGCACGATTTAAAAAAATTAATGGTGATTAATCACGCTGTTAAACCATTTATTTAAATATTTTTGGATGTTTTCTACATTTTCAAATATATTGATTTCAATTATAACACAGAATACCAAGTGTAAAGTGCTCACCTAATATTTATTTTTGATTACAAATATTTGCACTGTAAAAAACAAAAGAAATAGTATTTTTCAATTCACCTAATACAAGTGCTGTTGTGCAATCTCTTTATCATGAAAGTTGAACTTACAAATGTTGAATTATGTACAAAAAATAACTGCATTCAAAAATAAAATAATGTAAAACTTTAGAGGCTACAAGTCCACTCAGTCCTACTTCTTGTTCAGCCAATCACTCAGAACAAACAAGTTTGGTTACAATTTGCAGGAGATAATACTGCCTGCTTCTTCTTTACAATGTCACCTAAAAGCGAAAAAAGGCGTTCGCATGGCATTGTTGTAGCCGGCGTCGCAAGATATTTACATGCCAGATGCACTAAAGATTCATATGTCCCTTCATGCTTCCACCACCATTCCAGAGGACATGTGTCCATGCTGATGACGGGTTCTACTTGGTAACGATCCAAAGCAGTGCAGACCGATGCATGTTCATTTTCATCATCTGAGCCAGACGCCACCAGCAGAAGGTTGATTTTCTTTTTTGGTGGTTCGGGTTCTGTAGTTTCCACATCGGAGTGTTGCTCTTTTAAAACTTCTGAAAGCATGCTCCACACCTCGTCCCTCTCAGATTTTGTAAGGCACTTGAGATTCTTAAACCTTGGGTTGAGTGCTGTAGCTATTTTTAGAAATCTCACATTTGTATCTTCTTTGTGTTTTATCAAATCTGCTGTGAAAGTGTTCTTAAAGCAAACATGTGCTGGGTCATCATCCAAGACTTCTATAACATGAAATGCAGGTAAAACAGAACAGGAGACATACAATTCTCCCCCAAGGAGTTCAGTCACAGATTTAATTAACACATTATTTTTTCAATGAGCATCATCAGCATGGAAGCATGTCCTCTGGAATGGTGGCCAAAGCATGAAGGGGCACATGAATGTTTAGCATATCTGGCATGTAAATACCTCGCAACACTGGCTACAAAAGTGCCATATGAATGCCTGTTCTCACTTTCTGGTGACGTCATAAATAAGAAGCAGGCAGTAGTATCGCCCATAAATGTAAACAAACTTGTTTCTCTTAGCAATTGGCTGAACAAGAAGTAGGACTGAGTGGACTTGTAGCCTCTAAAGTTTTACATTGTTTTGTTTTTGAGTGCAGTTATGTAACAAAAAAAAATCTACATTTGTAAGTTACACTTTCATGATAAAGAGATTGCACTACAGTACTTGTATGAGGTAAACTGAAAAATATTGTTTCTTTTGTTTATCATTTTTACAGTGCAGATATTTGTAATCAAAATAATAATATAAAGTGAGCATTGTGCACTTTGTATTCTGTGTTGTAATAGAAATCAATATATCTGAAAATGCAGAAAAACATCCGAAATATTTAATAGATTTCAACTGGTATTCTATTGTTTAACAATGCAATTAATCGCGATTAATTTTTTTAATCACAATTAATTTTTTTGAGTTAATCACACGAGTTAACTGTGATTAATTGACAGCCCTACTTTAAACACAAACAGTCCCATTTGAAGTATTGGGACAACACATGTGATTGAGATAAGCATTTAACCAAGGCATATATTATGCTGCAGTTTTCCTTTAAACTGCTATCAAAATCCCACTGGTTTTATCATTACTTGAGACTACCAGAAATTCAAACTGGAATGATTATCAATCTTAATTTTATTCCACCAACATCTTAAAAAGCAAAAGCACTCAGTAACTATTAGTAATCACACAAGCCACAGACTTAAAAAGAACAAAAAGGAAGTTGCTTGCTCAAATTAAAACAGCCTTGCTGTAGGAAACAGCAAGAGCCCCCTCACCACAGTTTTAGTAGTTATAGAAAAGAAACATCCATTGCACAAGCAAAGCAAAAAAAAAAAAAAAAAACCGTAAGAATCTTTGACAGGTAACATCAAAGAGCAGAAAATAGAGGTTGAAGAGCTGTTGAATCAATAAACGCAGATGTACTTAAATATAAAATTAGCAGGAAGGCCTGGAATCAATCATGCAAAAAGAAGAAGAAGTGTGCAAGACGATGATCCAATCAGGTTCTTACCAGGGCTTCATTATCTTCTGCAATTTCTGATAGCGTCTGTAAAATTTAAAAACTTCCATGTGAGGAGATACATTTTAATACAAAAAAAGGACAAGTTTAATAACATTCAGGCATTGACACGTAGTATAAAGGGCAATAAATTACTGGCACTTATTCAGAAAGGAAATAGTTCATATTTGGTGAAGGAAAGGGCTTTAGTTAATTCAGAATACCTTTTAATTATCTGGCCTGAATACTTGTTTTAAGAAAGAAAGAGAAAGAGAAAGAAAAAAGGAAAAAGTTTCCAATGAAAAAATTAATTGAGCATAGATCCTTTAGAGCCTATTTATCTTTTCATTAGGAGTGCCTGGACAGCCTAAATTACTGTGCTTAGTCTTATGGATTTCTTTGATACAAAAAGAGTTCATTATAATAATACACTTAAGACATCTTCTGTATTAAGGTTGCTATAACATGAAGTCAGTTCTCAGAAAACTCGTTTCTTTTACTCCCTGTCTACATTACAAACAAAACTCAATCATAGAAGACATGGCTAAAAATTTTGGTGTAGATGGGAGGTAACTGGGTTGAAATCCTGACTAGCCCAGGACAAAATCCTGGCCCTGCTGAAGTAACTAGCAAAACTCCTATTGACTTCAGTGGGGCCAGGATTTCATCCTAGGTTTTTAAACATGGCTACAAGGACATGGTGAGGTCATGTCTACACAACAGCTTTAAGCCACGTGGGCATTAGTTTCCCTGAGTTATAGCTGTAGTATGCAGGCAGAGACTAAAGGTGGGTCTGTGCTTCACATGTAGGTTCAAATTCCACACACCTAAATTTATAGGTATCCAGATCCAGGGTGCTGGATTAACCCATTTGAGGAAAGGAGGCCCCAGCTGCGAAAAATGTACAAATGTACATACAGATTCCAAAAGTCTGGCATCAGGAGGTTTCAGTTTTTGCCAAGCTCTAATTCTAACCTTCATGATAACATCACCCCTGTAACAACTTCCAAAACACTTGGTGCCTATTTGTGGAGGGTGGTTTATGTACCACAGCCAAGAGGGTTTTGTTTAGACATTTCCTATTTTTTCGGAGACATGCAATACTGTGCAGCATTAGTGAACCAGAAATTATGGCATCATATTACTATAGTTAGGAAACTGCAAGATGAATATTAAGTGGAGGGAAGAGGGAAAAGATAATAAGGAACATTTCAAAGTCACGGTCCACTAATCATGATTTGCAAATCATCATCCCAGTAATAACCAGCTCCAGAAGTGCTGATTATGCCACTAAGCAAGCTAAGGTAAAGAAGCTATGAATGGTGAGATTGGCATCCAAAAAAATAATAATCCTCACTGAATCCAAAGAGCAAATTCGCCTTCTTCACCCCAGCTATATTCCCAAATCTTGTATGCCAATTCTTATAGAGAACTCCTAATATTTGCAAATCTCACTACCCTATCTTTTTTATCCTTTCTTTGGGGGTAACTTTGATTTGACATAACAATGTTCTCCAGCATTTGTATATGGATATACCATATCACAAGGTCTGAATTAGTCCAAGGTACTTGGTCACCCAGTTCTGTTGTCCTTACAGTGCATTCACAACTTATTCTACAGTCATCCTCTAGGATAAGGAAGGCAATTTTCTATGATGAAATGGACTAGTTATTCACATGGGGCCAAACTTACACTCTGTAACCTATTGATTAAAAAAAAAAATACAGTTAAGTCAAATTTATGTCAAAAGGGGTGTTAGTTGGGTCAGGATTGGGACCATGGTCATCTGCTACTTTCCCTCTTCTTCTGATGAATGCTAACATCCTAACTGCTTTCAACCAAACACTATCCAATTCCATGCAGTAATATTTGGAACTTCAGTAAGGGGAGCTTTGATGATATACGCAGCAATAATGCAGGATTACCTCTCCTTCTTCTACATCCTAATTTGGAAGCGTATGCTTCCTCTACATAAACAGTATGCTGTACGTTCTACACATACTGCATCAGTGTGTTGATTGTCATATACCATTTTTATATTATATCATCTCACAAGTCCAACATATAAAACATGATATTTACATAACATTCATGTACAACTTTTCTTCTATGCGGATTCCCCATTTCAGTCACTCAGGTAAGTGGCTTTGGGGGAAGAGTGAAAATCGAGTGCCTTCTTGAGATAGCTCACGCTCTGTCCCAAGTAGGGCACTGCAGGAGAAATACTTTGAGACACTTATATTAAAGAGTTACATCCTGGAGCCGTGGTTCCCACACAGTTGGTCCTGACCCACTGGTTGGCCCTGGGAAGGGTTTAGGTAGGTCATGTGTCCCAGTGGCACTCCCATCCACCTGCACTCTTACTTCCCCTGGGCAGTCACATAGAGAGTGGGATCCAGGCAGCAGCAGTGCAAAGGAAGTGCCTCCAGATCCCACTCTCACGTCCCTTGGGCAGCAGCAACCCAGAGGAAGCAGCAGGAGCCAGCAAATGGACAGTCAGCAAGGAGTACGGCCTGGCTGCAGGGAGAGAGTGGCTGGCTGGGGCTGCAGGAGGGGGCAGGGCTGAGGAAGCAAGAGCCGGGGAGCTGGGGATGAGGAAGCGAGGGGTGGGAAAGGGAGAGGGGGAATCAGGGGCAACAGTCAGTCCCCCAAAAAAGACAAAATGCAGTTGGTGTGTCACCTGAGTAAAAAGTTTGTGAATTACTGTTCTAGAGGAAGCATGGTCTTGTGGCTAAGGCACTGCATTTGGACTCTGATACCAACTTTACAGACTTCCTCTGTGACTTGGGGCAAGGGACATAAAGTTCCCTGAGCATCACTTCTCCATTTATAAGATCTCTCTAGATACTCATACGGCTCTCATCAGTATCTGAGCACCTTCCAACTGTTTAAAAACAACAAGTGTCTCTCTTGATTTTCTTCCTTCTGGTCCTTCCTGAAATATAGGGGGTTTGTTTGTGTGTTTAGGGGGACGGGTGTTAAGCAATGTGTTTTGCATTTAGTTCTGAAAGTGGTGAGGAGTCATTCTCATCTGTTGAGGGAGAGAGTGCCATCACTGAGATGCTGTTCCACGTTCTCTCCCCAATGTGATTCCACCTACTGCTCGCCAGTTTCATCGTTCTAGTGGAATGTATCTCTGGTGGCAACTCGTGGTTATGGAGAGTGGGGTGGCCTAATGTGGAGGAGTCAGAAAGAAGATTCTGGATTATTGTATCAAAGGTGTCATCCATGTGGATGTTGGAAGTCTACCATAATAATTAGTTTTGTGAACTTCATCACCATGTCAGGCAGCATCTCTATCAATTCCTCTGGGAAGGCTTTCGTGTTTCAGTGTTTGTAGAGAAGTCTGAATTTGGAATTCCTAACAATCTGTGGGTACACCTAGCTACCATTACCAGGGGAAATGGAGTTCCTGCGGTGATGGAAAACCCTTCTGTCGGTGTAGGAAGAATCTACACTATGGCATTACTATGACATAGCTATGGCATCATAGTGTAGGATTCCTGTTTGAGAGAAGTCTTCCTGCTTTTCAGCCTGGATGGGAAGAGAATGGCTACTGCACTCAGAAGTTTGTCCTCCCTAGATATGGCCCTGTGGTGGACAGAGGATCCTGGAGAGTTGAGGTAAGCCAACACTGTCAGTCAGCCAGGTTTCTGTAATGACTCACTTGATCTGGTCTGCATCACTGATAAAGTCACATATGGCAAAGATCTTATTGATCAGGAAGGGGATGAGGTCCTGATATTTGTCTTTTCTGGGAATGTGCTGTTTGCTGCTTGCACTGGAATGGATGGGAATAATACTGTCTTCATACCTCACAGGAGGGTTGTGAGGGTAAATTAATTAATGTTTGTGAAGGACTCGTATACTGATGAGCAGATAAATCTGTCTGTCTATCTATCTATCATACCAGTTTCTATAAAGGAAAAAACTCAAAGTGAATGCCAACATAATGTAAAAGAGCGAATAATGAAAGGTTACTGGTTTAGACATTCTGCTACCACAATATGTTCAGTGTTTGGCCTCGAAGGAACTTTGTGATAAATTTCTGGCTGAATCCCAAAAAAACAGCAGTTCCATTTGGAATTCCCCAACCCACACAAATTTAATTCTTGCTGAAAGTGCATTGTAATATATGCCAAGAGTAGCTTCCAGCTGAGACAAACTTAGCACAGCTCCTACTGGGTCAACTGCCTTTTGGCTCACGTGGTAAGATTGCTGCCTATGAATAAAAAAAAGAGTCCTAGCCTGAGGGCTTTTCTACACTTGAAACACTGCAGCTGTGGCCCTGTACCGCTTCAGTGTAGACCTATCTACACCAACGGGAGAGGTTCTCCTACTGGCTCTGTCTACACAGGGGGTTAGGTCAGTTGTTGGGGGGGTGGATTTTTCACATCCCTGAACAACACTGCTGGGTTGACCTAACTCTTTAGTGTAGATCAGGCCTCAGTGGAGGTAATCTACAAGACACACAAATGCTTCATCTACGCTAAGGAGTTTTTGTGAAAATTTCACACCATGGGTAATGCCAGTGCAGCTCTATTGGTGTTAGCAATATCAAGAGGGCTAAAACAGACACATCTCCTGTGGCTGACAGGGCTTGTACACACTACCACTTATGTCAGTACAATTTATGTCGCTCAGGGGTGTGAATAAGCCACCCCCCGAGCGATGTAAGTTACACCAACCTAAGCACCGGTGTGGAACAATGCCATGTCGGCAGGAGAACTTCTCCGCCAACATTGCTAGCACCTCTCGCAGAGGTGGTTTTATTGTGCCAATGGGGGACCTCTCCCGTCGGCATAGAGCATCTTCACCAGACATGCTACAGCAGCGCAGCTGCTTCTAGTGTACACTAGCCTTCAGTGTTTTTAAACACCATATGTCTAAACATGCTCACCTCAGAGTAGGTTTAAACAACACTGGGTTAATCACACCAGGCAGGGGGCACAGGACTAGGAGCTTCATCTACAGTATGGCTCCAACTTTGTGGAAAGCCAATGTTAGGGCAAATGGACATTTTTCACAAATGTTCCCTCATGTAGGC